TTTTCTAGAGTTTTCGATTTTTTTGGAATTTCCGTTTTTTTCAATTTTCGCTTTTTTTTTGAAAATGTCTGAAACTCGAAAATTCTGAATTATTGCATTTCTTAAATTCTGAAATTCGGAATTTCTAAAATTCTAAGATTCTCATTTTCTCACTTTCTCACTCTCTGTCTTCTCTCCATTTGCCATATTGAATTTTGAAATTCTGATATTCTGAGATTCTGATATTCTGAGATTCTGAGATTCTGATATTCTGAGATTCTGAGATTCTGATATTCTGAGGTTCTGAGATTCTGATATTCTGAAATTCTGAGATTCTGAGATTCTGATATTCTGAGATTCTGAGATTCTGATATTCTGAGGTTCTGAGATTCTGATATTCTGAAATTCTGAGATTCTGAGATTCTGAGATTCCGAGATTCTGAGATTCTGAGATTCTGAGATTCTGAGATTCTGAGATTCTGAGATTCTGAGATTCTGAGATTCTGAGATTCTGAGATTCTGAAATTCTGAGATTCTGAGATTCTGAGATTATGAGATTCTGAGATTCTGAGATTCTGAGATTCTGAGATTATGAGATTCTGAAATTCTATGATTCTGAGATTCTGAGATTCTGAGATTCTGAAATTCTGAAATTCTGAAATTCTGAGATTCTGAAACTCTGAAATTCTGAAATTCTGAAATTCTGAAATTCTGAAATTCTGAAATTCTGAAATTCTGAAATTCCGAGATTCTGAAATTCTGTGATTCTGAGATTCTGAGATTCTGAGATTCTGAGATTCTGAGATTCTGAAATTCTGAAATTCTGAGATTCTGAAATTCTGAAATTCTGAAATTCTGATATTCTGAGATTCTGAGATTCTGATATTCTGAGATTCTGAGATTCTGAGATTCTGAGATTCTGAAATTCTGAAATTCTGAGATTCTGAAATTCTGAAATTCTGAAATTCTGAAATTCTGAAATTCTGAGATTCTGAAATTCCGATTCTGAGATTCTGAAATTCCGAAAAATTTCTCAATTTCTGTTTTGTATAATTTCTTCTCTCCATTTGCCAAATTTCTCTCTCATTTTCGAAAATCGGTCACCCAATTTTTCAAGGACACACCCAAAAATGAAGTTTCGTCACTTTTTTTTTCTAATAAACAATTTTCAAAAATCAGAAGACTTCCAAGAAAAACAAATAAACCACTGATCAATTCCAAATTAGGCTCCGCCCACTTTTCGAAATCCCTATAAAATATCCCCGA